CTAACATATTCTGCAGCTACTCAAGAATTTCCCAGCATTTTATGGAGCCCGAAGGTTAATTACCGTGTTCACAAGAGCCCCCCACTGGTCCCTATCCTGAGCCAGATCTATCCAATCCATTCCATCCCATCCTATCTCTCTAAGATCCATTCTAATAAGCAAAATTCCTAGATGAAATAAAAAAAATAATTCAACAATTATTACAACAAAATACTGTGATACAAAACATGCTAACAACACTCATCAACAAACGAAATAAATGGCCAAATTCCTAAGAATAGAACAATGGAACGCTAATGGACTTCCAAATCATCAAGTAGATATAAAAGTATTTCTAAACATAAACTCAATCGACATCCTACTATTCAGCGAAACCCTCTTCACCAGCAGAAGCTACTTCAATATCCCCAAATACAAACTTTACCACACAAACCACCCCGAAAACACAGCCCACGGAGGCACTGCAATCCTAATCATAGAAAAAATTGAAGATCATGAACTACCAAAATATGAAAAACATCACATACAAGCCACTTCCATCAAAGTCAAAACATTTCCTTATGCTTTCACCATTACCACGGTCTACTGTCCTCCCCACTATAACCTCAAAAGACACCACTTCAAGTCATTCTTCCAAACCCTGGGTACCAAACTTATAGCTGGCAGACACTACAACAGCAAGCACACATTTTGGGGCTCAAGATTCGTAACAACAAAAGGCAGAGAACTACACAAGACAATCCAAAATAACAATTACTCCATCATATCAACTGGAACACCAACATACTGGCCCACCGATGAAAATAAAATTCCCGACTTACTAGACTTCTTCATAAAAAACGGCATCTCTCCTAACTACACAAACGCAACTGCAAACCTTGACCTAACATCGGACCACACTCCGATCATTGCAACAATAAGCACATCAGTTATACTAAGGAAATCCAAGCCCAGACTTCAAAACTCCAAAACAAACTGCAATCTCTTCAGGAAAATAATAGAAGACAATACAATACTAAAAATTAAGCTGAAAGAACCAACCGACATAGAAAATGAATGTAAAAATTTAATCGCCTTACTACAAGAAGCCGCCAAAACAGCAACCCCATAAATGATCCAAAGAACATACAAATAACATACCGTTAAGAATAAAAAAATTAATAGCCAAAAAGAGAAGAGCTAGATTAACGTGGCAGAGGACTCGCAATCTGGAAAACAGAGCAAAATATAACAAAATTAGCAATAATACGATAAATGACACAAACTCCGTCCCAAGTGCAAACAATATATACTATATGTCCCTGATCCTGTTCCCTCCACACTACATGTTTCGGCCTCTATCGGCCATCATCAGGTGTACACTCTTAACGTTGCTGCTTAACGTTGTGTCATTTATCGTGTAGAGTGCAACAGGATGCTTAAATATAATATTATAAAATTAGCAATAAGCTAAAAACGCAATTACAAGAATTAACGAACAAATCATTCGAGAACTACATCACAAGCCTCACAAGACAAGACAATTCTATCTGGAAACCAATAAGAAACAAAAGAAAGCCCATATCAGCATCACCCCCAGGAAACTGGGCAAGAAGCGACAAAGAAAAAGCCGACCTATCTGCACAACATCTACAAGAAGTATTCACTCCACACAACAGTAATCAAGTACAAGAAGTAAACTCACTTCTAAATGAACCAATACAAAGACACCAACGATCAAAGTGCTTTACCTTAAAGGAAATGCAGGAAGCAATAAACACTCTAAAGCCAAAAAGGGCACCAGGCCATGATAATATCACAGCTGTAATACTAAAATATTTACCAAGAAAAGGTCAAGTAAAACTCCTATACGTATTTAACGCCATACTTAGACTGGACTATTGGCCTCGTCCGCTCAAAATCGCCCAAATTTTCATGAACTTGAAACCAGGCAAAAATCCAACCAACGTCACATTCTACTAACCAATAAACCTTCTACCCACAATTTCAAATGTCCTCGAAAATCTAATACTCGGCAAAATAAACCATGAATCAAACCCACAAACATGGATACCAAACTATCAGTTTGGTTTTTGATGAGTCCACTCGACCATTCAACAAAGTCATCGCATAGCAAATACCATAACTAACGTGCTAAACAACAAACAATACTGCACAGCAGCATTTTTAGTTACAGCCCAGGCTTTTGACAAAGTCTGGCATCCTGGCTTACTTTAAAAAATAAAAAGAATCTTCCCAACAAATTATTACAACCTACTCACTCATATTTAAGCAAAAGATTTTCCAAAGTCAAAATAAATGAGGAAATATCCAACCGCCTACCAATCCACTCAGGGGTGCCCCAAGGAAGCTTCATAAGCCCACTATTATACTCTCTCTACACCCCCCCCCAAAAAACGATAATATGTACTTTTGCAGATGACACTGTTATCTTCGCTACCCACGGCAATCCAATCACAGCATCCTCTCATCTACAAGTTCATCTAATCCTCATAGAAGCATGGTTAAACAAATGGAAAATCAAAGTAAACGAATCAAAGTCCACACAAACAACTTTCACCTTCTGAAAATACACGTGGCCCCCAGTGAAAATAAATCACATCAATATACAACCAAAAGAACAGGTCAAATATCTAGGATTAAACTTTGACAACAAACTAAACTGGAGACAACACATAATCAAGAAAAGAAAACAGATGGACCAAAAAAACAAAAAACTCAACTGGCTCATAGGAAGGAAGTTCCACCTCTCCATCAAAAACAAGTTACTAATCTACAAAACAGTCATCAAGCCTATATGGACATACAGCACAGAACTCTGGGGCTGCGCCAGCAAATCCAACATTACCATTATACAGCGTGCCCAGTCCAAAATACTCCGAACCATCACGAACACACCACGGTATGTATCCAACCACACCCTACATACAGATCTAAAAACTCTTTATGTAACAGAATTAATCCGAGAAAACAGCAACAAGTACTTCAACAAACTAGAAAATCACTCCAACCCACTTCTTCAAACATTACTACAACCTCACCAAAATTGAAGACTCAAAGGAATTTGGCCACCAGATTTAAGGAATTGAGGAGGAAAACACCACTGCATGTTTATTTTGCTCACGCCCTGAAGAGTGTACAACAAATAGTTACTATATTGTACACCAATCAGCATACTGACTTATAGATTGTACAATCTGACTGTCAATAGAGGAGAAAAAAATAAATAACTGAAGCCTACAATATTGATACTAACACTTTATAGATCTCATTTTATAATGTGTACACAGATACATGATGATACAGATAACACATAAGTCAAAGTTCAGAACAACTGATATGGCATTGTTTTATTGCCTTCTCAACAGTAAGAATATATGAATAATATGAAGATTACTGTCTTGTGGGATATGATACCATGTAGGTTGGTACAAATTTTCCAGCATTATGGAAGAAAAACCCAAATATTTTCAAGTTTCTACCAGACTACACATCATAACAGCTCACTAATTTTAATATATAGCCTTCTGAGTTACTACACTGATATCTTCAAGGGACAAATTTCCCTCATTCTTCTGGTATTAGTATATTCTAAGGAAAGGCAAGAGGCTCAGTATTCGCCTACCAAATTCTACAGTGCCATATGACAAAACCCATAATGTTAATCATTAGTGTGACTTACTAACATACGTAGGTCCTCTGCTGGAATATCGCATTACAATAAAATATCAGAGTCAGTCTGACAGAATGATAAGAAGAGAAAAATATGTGATTTGTTCAAATAAATTGACCACAAGGCCGTTATCTGTCAAGCTTTCCAAAAAATTAGGAAAACATATTCTAATCCAATATCATGCTGAGCTTTGTGACTTTTGATATTCAGCTTCAACCTGGTTAGGTGTCATATGTAAAAATATATGAAACAGTAAACATTAATCAGTTGTATAGATTTCCTTATTTTTTTATTGCTAGTGGGGTGGGACTAAGTCCCTTGTACTGCGGCCACTTCTGGCCTATTGTACCAGCCCCAGATGATAGTGAGGGTGATTGTGGAGCAACTGGTGTAATGAAGATTGGCAGGGAAAACCGAAGTACTTGGAGAAAACCTGCCCCAGCGCCACTTTGTCCACCACAAATCCCACTTGACCAGACCTGGGATCGAACCCCGGCCGCCGCGGTGGGAAGCCAGCGACTAACCGCTTTAGCTATGGCACAGCCTTAGATTCCTTAAATAATAAGTACTGTAGGCAAATTACTTGTATTCTGTTTCATGTATGCTGAATCAATCTTAAACTGTTTCCTGCTGTAGAACGGTAATTATGGTCCAATAGCCTTAGTGCCCCAGTTTTCATGAATAAAAAGTGTAACAATATCATCAAACTTAGTTACTTCATTGACCTCTCTTAACACTCAGTTTAGTAGTTTTCTACTTAAATGTGTAATGTAAAAAATATAACACTCATATTTCTATGTAAAACTGGATTCCAGTTTTGACAGGTTGTCCGTTACCTGATTTACTTTTCCACCAATAAAACATAATCAAGAAAAATTACTGAATGTGCATGTTCGGTGATTTTGGAAACATTGATAAAACTGACAATAATCAATCATCAAAATATAATTTTTTCCCTGGCTGAGTCACAGCAAAACATCCTTTAATGCAAGAACTCAACATCATACTGTGGAAATCCCACATTTACGTGTAGTTTATGACTTCCTCTTCTCCAAACCAAACCAGAAGCCTCCATCTATGGACATGTTGAACCCTTTCTGTACTATTCTGATGGGCACAGGTGTTCTGGAAACCACTTTCAAGGTGAACTGGGACAGCAGGTACACTAGTGCCAGTTTTGTTTCCATAAGAGCAAAGCGGTTGCCTTGAACAAATAATTACAACTGTACATATGTATCCTACTAAATATGACTAGTAAATAATCCAAATCTAGGGTGGCAGAACTGGAAGGTGTAGCAATATCAATACATCTATTTAATGAGCAACGTGCTGAAAATGTATTTAATGGTTATCATTTTCTTAAGATTATGGTCTTCTGGGATGTGATCTACTCAAGCAAGCAGGCACCAACATTTCTGAGGAGTCTGGTGTCTCTATTTTCACACCAGCACTGGGTCAGCATCTATGTTAGTTGAGATGCATTATTCTATATAAACATTTTTATGATGTTGATATGAACATTGGTTGATTACAATACAAGCTTTCAATGTTGTACCATACTTTAATAAAACAAAATCTTAACTAATGTAATCTGACTCATGAACTCTTTAAACAATCACATGGAAAAATTTGATCATTTCCTCTCCATCTCTTCATTCATCACATATAATGTTCCTGTATATCATCTGACAGTTCTGTCCATGATTTTAGACCTGGTGGTTCTCACGAGAATGCGCAATGGATTTGAGTGATTCCACTAACTCAGAATGCAGAGAGAATGTGGATTAACAGTGTCTCACCCTTCCTCACCCCCATGATGAAGCTTCAAACACTGCCTCACTATTTCTTGCCATATTTCTCCATGTCTAAACACATGGCCTGTACATAACTTTGCAGTTCACAGAGCATCAACAACGTCTTAACTTCATACTGAAATTTCACAATCTGGTCTTGAATCCTGGGGAATGTACCTTGCTCAAATATACTTATCTGTCGGTAAAAAATATTTTTCTCATCAATTTTGTAGTAATAAATCATTTCTTTTTCTCCTCCCCCTGTTCCTGTTGTTCTTGATTTGTTTTCATTTTGTAGCAGTCTACACACAGAGGGTCTAAAATTTTTCCTACATACCACAATTTTCCTTCTAATTTTTTTTTTTCCCAGCCCTCATATTGATGTTTTCAGTACTTGAATTAACCACATCTTTCTGGATTGTTGCATATATTTCATTCTTTCACATTTTAATTCTAATACCCTTCTCAATACCCTTGTTCCATTCATTATTTTTACATGGCCAAAATATTCCAATGGTTTCCCTTCCAAATCTTTTAATAAATTCTTAATTATAACTTCTTCTCTAAAAATTTCATTTCTAATTCTTTCCTTTCTTATTCTTCTTCTCTCTCAATACTGTTCAAATATTTCATAATCACTGCCTGAACTTTACTTCTGTTTCTCACTGTATGGGTTTATCCTTCAGTGTTACATACAAAACATAAGTTCAAACTATTGTGAATATTATGATACAAATATTACAGTATATGTTGTATGTAAGTAATACACATTTTCTATGCACAAACACAATATAGTACACAGTTTAAGTGGTCCTCTTCTCTAGACCCAACCAGAAACCGCCTTCTGCAGTTACGTTGAAACCCTTCTGTATTACTTTGATAGGAACTGGTGTCTTAGAAATCACTTTCACGCTGAAACGTGACAGCAGGTGTGCCAACAATGATTTCGTTTCCATGAGAGCAAATCTGTTGCCTGGAACACAAAATCCATATATCCATAAACAACTAAGGCTTCTAATTCTATTGTCTAGTCATGTGAGCAAGCACATTTGCTAGTAATAATGTGTAAGGCCAGCAGTTGGTAGCACCATACAGGTACCAAGTATCCAGTGAACTGTACAGAGACCAAAGGGCTACGATAATGAGAACAAAAAAAGCCCAAAAAGTCAGTTACAGAGCTCATATGGTTAGAGGAAGAAAGATTTATGCAAGGGGTCTCTTACTTCATAAACAAAAGATTTATTTAAAAAGAAAAGGAAATATAGGGACAAAATATTATTAGCATTTTCTTAGAGTTAAGGTAAGAGATAAATTAAAAAAATCGCGGGGTGACTGATATGACAGAATAAGATATTTGTAAGAATGTGGTAGGGGGCCAGATGGACATTTTTGTGGGGCAAAGATGTTGAGCAGCAATTGTTCCTCAAGACATTTATGAGCAAAATATTTCAATAGGCATCGCACTAGCAACAAAAATAAGTAGCATGGTGGCAGTGGTATTCAGATACTGCTGCAGCCCGTTAACTTGCCTATCCATGTGCTACAGCTCTGCTTGTAACCAAATTAACTTTAATTTACTTCAGTAATCTTACTCAGCTTTAACAATGGTCGATCTTAATAGTATGCATCCTGTTGTGTGTCATACACAAGGTACATAAAACGTATATAAAAGTATGCAGTCTGTATTTAAAACAAAGTAGACAGTATTCTATCAACATTTGTTTTTATTGATGCTACATGTATTGACCCTTATACTGGGTCATCATCATTAGGTGTACAATGATACCAGGCTCAGATGAATTGCATCTAATTCTTCAATAAGGATCCTTATTGTGCACATGACTGTTTTAAATGCATAAAGTGAGTCCTTCAGTTAAAATTTTAAATATTCAGATAATGAAATTTAAAACTTAACAGATTAAATATTAAAATGTAAAAATTAAAATTGTACTAATATTGAAATGAAGTATTTTGCGACAAATTTCTTTAAAATTCTGTGACCCCAAAAGTTAGGTTGAGTGCTCTTCACCTTATTATCGTCTTGTGGAGCTTACGAGTATGCTCGTTATTCTGTATGTCACACAACAAGTTGTTTATTTGGAGTGATGCATATTAGATTTTCTTACGATGATATGTGTATGGCTGTTCCTTATGCTGATGTTGTCACTATGTTGTAGAAGCAGTATAGACCAAACCGCCACAACATTGCGACAATATCAACACAGTGAGCAGCCCCTCCAGTGAGCTGTTAATAAAATAAGCACAGAGGAAAAATATGTTATTATTTACAAAAAATTTGTAGACACCTAAGCTACTTCTCAGTGTAGTCACCACCAGAATTTAGGCACCTGTTGTATCAGGGAATAAGTTTCTGTATGCTTGTGTCAAAGAAGTCTGCCGCCTGTAAGTTGAGCCATGTTTTGACACTTTCCATCAACTCCTTGTTATTCTTGAAGGGCTGTGATGCCAACCAGTTCTTCAGGTAGGTACAAATAAACTGGTGGTGGTCGCTCAGAGCGGGATCATGGCTCTAAGGAGGGTGGTCAAATAACTCCCAGTTGAAATGCTCCAACAGTCCTCAAGTGCAAGCAGCTGCATGCAGACACTCATTGTCATGAAGAACCACTGTACCAAATGTCAGCATTCAACGCCATTTTTTCTGAATGGAACTACGAAGTTTCTTACTGTTTCGCTGTACACTTCTGATATTACTGTGGTCCCTCATTGCATTAATTCCACTATCAGCACTCCTTTCCTGTCGCAGAAAACAGCTGCCAGCAGCTTTCTGGATAACGACGTTTATTTAATCTTTTTCGGCTTGTTTGGTGACTGTGTGTACATCAACTGCTTTGCTTGGTTTCAACATTCACGAATGAAACCCAGGTTTCATCATTTGTTACTCGTACGAAGTGATTGAGAAATTCATCACCATCTTTATGGTATCCCTATAAAAAAAAATCAAGTCAAAGCCATTCTCTGCATTTTGTGTGCACACTTGAGTACTTATGGAACACACCTTGCGCAAGACTAGTGATAATCACGTAGAGAAAAGTGCATGAAATTTGCGGATATTCACACGAAAGTTCTGAAATTGTGAAGGTTTGTCTCTCACAATATTTTGGTCAACATTTTCAATAAGATCATCACTCACAATAGATGGCCAGCTGAACATTTCGCTCTTCATCATGAACATTTGTTAGCCCATTTTTGAACATTCTGTACCATAGAGTTCCTTCACTCGTTATATTTTCACCATAAACCTTGCATAATTCATGACTGATTTCAGCAGCACTGAAGTTCTTAGCATGAAGAAAGCGAATAACTGCAAGAATTTCGGAGCTGGCAGGATTATTAATTGCAGAACACATTATAACTCACACTGTAGAAACAAGAACTTACACTACGGACCAGTTACGTGATGGTTTACAAGGCAATGAATCATGTGATGCTACTTTTCCAGCACAAACTCTCTACCACTTCTATATTAGTTGTCTGAAACAAACGGAAGTTACTTTCCGAATAGCATTCATATTTTATAATGTCTTTGCTGGTCACCATACAGTATTCCGGACAGAAGTCTCAGCACAACAACCAACTGCATTCTGGACATGCCACAGCAGGCAATAACCATCGTCATAAATAAAAACTAAACTTCTTGGCTTTTAGTCCGCAAGGGAAGTATACCGACCAACCGAGCGACCGCCACTTGTCGGCGAAGTTAATGCCAAATTTTGTGGATAGAGGGTGTCGTGTGTTCAGCGTAACGGATTCCCACAGGCGTTAATCTCGGTTTTCTAGACCGGAGCCGCTACTTTTCCATTCAAGTAGCACATCAATTATCCTCACAAGACTGAGTGGACTCTGTTCCAGGCGCAATACTTCTCAGAAAATCTGGTAGCGCCGGGAATCAAACCTGGGACCTCTGACCACTAGTTCACAGAGGCAGAAACAAAAATAACTCAGAATATCGCTACTTATTGTTCCAGACCAACAATACAACTCCATGCCGATTAACAACTATGACACAACTTACACCCCACTATACATCCAGGATTCATTACTTCTACGAGACACAATACCAATGACTACAGTTGGCATATTAAGTCACATCCCCACCATACATCATCATTCACCAGCACAGTATAATAAACCTTATACATCCCCACAGAGCCTATTATACATGCAATGCTTCAAATTAAGCGTATTAAGCTATCAATAAATTCCGCATTATTCTTGTCACTTCACTGTATATACATACCCTTCCTAAGTCACACCTCACAAGCCTCACATTATACATCATCCACCTTACGCTAACCATTTTAACAAACTAAGAAAATCATTAAAATTTATGTTTCTTTTTATTCTATCACTTAACACAAGAATTTATTAAGACAATTTTTGTTCTAAAAATGGATGTATTTAACTCGGCATTTTGATAATAATATACTGGTATTATATTTATTTATTTACAAACTACCTGATGATGTCAATGCAATCAAAACACGCCGTGGCTGAATGAGACAATTCAATTCAGGCACTGATATTTTTCTTAATTTTAGTGGTTCTATTAAAGTTTAATTTACTTCACTGTTGTGTTTCCACAACGAAAATTTGCATAAGCCTACATATGTAATTTCAATGAAGAGTGAAAAATTGAAAGAACCAGAAGCAGCTGAAAAGTTCAGCTATAAAACTTCTGAATATCAAAACAGAATTTAATATCCAATCCTTGAGTTCAATGAAAAACAAGAAGACCTTAATCTCATTTCACGTTTTCTTACTAATATAAATGCTAATGAAGAAGTGAGGAACTAATCATAAATATTACTCACCAATGCAGCTTCTTGGGCCTAATCCAAAAGGTATGTATGTCATTGGGTTGATGTTGTGCTTATTGTCATCACTGAATCGTTCCGGATCAAAGCGCTCAGGGTCAGGAAAGTAGTTGGGGTCATGCTGCAGCCCATAGATAGGGATCATAATGTTGTCTCCAGGACGCAATTCCAGTGGAGGATCAGATTTCAGTGTGTAGTTTTTAACACAAACTCGTTCCACAGCTGCTCCTGGTGGGTACAGGCGTAGTGTTTCTGTGAATATGAATTTAAATACATTATCATTTATGGATTAAACATACTGACTAATGTCTCAGGTTCTGTGAACATGGAATGCTATCCGTCAGTATGGAATCAAACACCTTAATATGTGTTTCGTGTAAGTCTGCCTGTACTGAATTCTTTATGTGGCTCTGTGAATATAAAGAGAAAGCAAATTATCTCTAATAAACATAAAATGAATACAGAAAATAATGCATTCTTAATGTCTGCACCACAGCATCGTTCCGTACCCACTGATCACAGCCCTCTGAAGTACGTGACAGCCCTGATGAGGCAGTACATTATCACATTCTCGATCTCTAACTTGGGGACTTCATCTTTGACACAGTACTTGGTTTGATGTAAGTGCCAACATTAACTTTCATGTGTGTCTGAATTTTAACTACTCTCTTCTGTTTATATAATTTCAGTGAGACTGTGCTTCCTCAAATTTAACTTATGTGGAAAATTCCTGATACAAATATGTAAGAAACAAATCTCTTCAATTACTAAATATAGCAGGAATTTCTGACTGAGATTTGGGTCAGAAAACAAGGATTATGCATTGTGCAATATTGTGGTGAAAGGAGATGTACCTCTGCTTAATTAAACAGTATGCAATGGAGACATAAGGATGTGAACACGCTCTCGGCTTTTTTACTGAGGCACTGGATGGGGTGTGGTGAGCTTCATGCTTTAACTGCTCCAGACTAGAAGAAGAGCTCTGATTACAGTCTGGGCATGCTTCAGAGCCAGTTTGGATGCTGTGCTGAAGAGAAAAGTCTCTGCCCATGCCAAAAATTAAACACCTGTTTCCAGATTATCTTGACCATAGCATACTGAGTGAGCTATCCCAGCTCCTATAATACTGTGTTCAACTGAAGTATTTTTTTTATTGCTAGTGGGGTGGGACTAAGTCCCTTGTACTGCGGCCACTTCTGGCCTATTTTACCAGCCCCAGATGATAGGTGAGGGTGATTGTGGAGCAATTGATGCAATGAAGATTAGCAGGGGAAACCAAAGTACTTGGAGGAAACCTGCCCCAGTGCCACATTGTCCACCACAAATCCCAGTTGACCAACCCGGGATCAAACCTGGGCCACCGCGATGGAAAGCCACCGACTAACCGCTTGAGCTATGGCGTGGCCTTCAATTGAATTAAGTGTACATATTAAATTATATCAGCTTGCAACAGGAATGTGATCGTGTCTATTGTGTTTTCATTACACACAGCTTTTAGTCAAAAAACAAATGTTATTCAATTTCATGGAACAAACTGTACTTCTCACCAATTACTGGGTTGATCAGATGAGCGACAATGAGAAGAGAAGGGCATGCAGCAAGCATGGATGGAATCAGAAACACATTCAGTGTTTTGTTTGGAAAGTCTGAAGGAATGAGTCCACTTGGAGGATTAAAACATAAATGGAAGGGTAACATTAAAATGGATCTTAAAGAAATTGTTTGGAAATGTATAGAATCCATCTGGTTGTTGATATGGGCCAGTGACAGGCTCTTGTGAACAAAGTAATAAAAATATGGGTTCCATAAAATGTGGTATATATCTTGATCAGGTGTGCAACTATTAGCATGTCAAGAAGGACTCCATACAGCCTGCTAGTTTAGTAAGTTTGTTAGGTAGCTACATAACTAAATAACTACCTAATCTGATATTGTAGCTAAATGCAATGGACAAGGCCCACAGGAAACAAAAACACGAATTTTACACCACCTTTTCATTGTGATTTTTGTGATTTTCAATCCCTTCTTAGTTTTTTTTCTTCGTTTTCTGCAGATATAAATTTAATCAACTGTACGGGTACTACACTGGAACAAATGTAGATCATTTTTCTTTGTGTTTCATTGCACGCACATACCTTACTAAAGCATATTTCGAACTAATGTCACACATCTTAATCCTTACAGCAAAATAGTTATTGTCACGTGTGACAGTCCACAAATGGGGTTTGGTCTGGCAATTAGATTTAATGACCACTTACAGATCGTAGCTAGAAGTAACTATAGCGCCATCCCTAATTCAAGCTCTGCAGTTCAGAATAGCACACACTTCAGTCTTCTCAGTCTGCTGTGTGTTCACCGGTTGCCTGGTAGCGGCGTCCAACGGCTGATGTTCCCCTTACTCTGGGTTCCCGAACTATCCCCGTGCCTCAGCTTCAAACAGCAGCAGCTCACAGGGACTGAGTTGCAGCAGTTTTCTAATTCACTCATCAACTAACTCGCTCCACTCCACTGCACAGCACTGCATTGCACTAACGGAACTCAACTCTGTCAGTCGAGTGATATAGCATCTGAGCGGACCACAGAGAATATACCGCGTCCAACGGTACTTGTACTGTTGCATGCGGACCGCTGCCTAGCTGTGCTTATGACGTCTGTGATCAGTCTCACTTTCCTTCCCGGTGACTCCGTTTCCACGGTGATTACTCAGCAATTGTTCCCATTGCTACCATCTCAAGGACACTCATCCTGAGTGACTCCCTGATAAGGTGTGAGTTGGCCCAGGTGTACAGCCATCAACCTTGTTCTTTTCCATGGACTGAGTTTTGAATATATTTTCTTTCGTTTCGGAGAGTACCAACCCCTCCAAAATGTCCTGTCACCCACTTTCCACAATCCGATGGAAATTCAGACTGCTCGCTTCATGGCTTCCAGCTTGAGAGTCTGCCTCACAGTACTGTTGAAGGTCCTCTCGTTTTCCTAGACGTAGCTGCAGTCTTATGCGCCTTGGTTCTTCATTCCACTGCTGCATTCCGGGTCCATCTGTCGTCTGTTCCTGACCGTTGCTCCTTTATGACCACATGCCTTACGCTGTGCCAGAATGGCACTTAGCGTCATCAGTCTCCAGGCAGTGGTCAATTTCTTCTGGGACACACCATCGCCCTGTGTCCACTTCTTCAGCTGTCGGTGATGCCCTACGATTAGATGCCAGTCCCCATATCTGTCCTCCAGTGCTCCAACAGTTTCCACTGCAGCCTCCTCCTTAGGGAAATTCTGATGCTCTGACTTGGACTCTATCCAAATCCGTGACTTACAACCTTTCCAGACTGACCTCCACTGTGGCCTCTATCTTTTCTTGGCCGGCTTTCATTATCACCATCAACTCCTTGTGGTCAGCGTACATTTCTTCTTTCAGGAGTTCATGGCGGACTTTCATTTCTTTTAGGTTGGCATCCATATTTTCTTGGTTGGTTCTCATTTCCTCGCGGTTGGTTCTTATTTCAGCCAGCAGGCATACCATAATTTTTCATCTACACAGTGTGGCAATATAGTTTCTTACTGCGGTCTCCAATCCAACCACTTCCAGCACCAGTTGTCATGTGTATGAGTGACTACAGACGGGGTTTGGATTGGTAACTGGATCTACTGAACACTTACAGAATGTAACTACAAGTAACTATAGCGCTATCATTAATTCACACTCTGCAGTTCACTACAGCACACACTTAAGTATTTCCAGGCTGTTCTGTGTATATCAATTGTCTGGTAGCAGCTTCCAACAACGGACGTTACCCTTCCTCTTGTTTTCTGAACTGTCCCCATGCTCCACCTACCAGCTTCTAACAGCAACAGCTCAAAAAGGACTGAACGGCAGCTGTACTCACTCACTCACTCACTCACTCACTCACTCACACTCACTCACTCACTCACTCACTCACTCACTCACTCCGCTGCACTGCACTAACTGAACTCAACTCCGTTGGTTGAGTGATATAGGCTTGGAGTAGAACACACAGAAAACACCGCTTCCAATAGTATTTCTACTGCTGCACGAGGGCCGCTGCTTATGAACAGCTCTAGTACTGTTGCGTATTTACGAAGGTTTTGCCTAGCAGTAACTGTTGACTTGTTGTTTGTTTCGCAGTCGTTGCCTAGCAACGAGTCTACATGTCACACAATATATGGCAACACTAACACTTGGTTTCTCCTACAGAGTATTTTTATGTATGACTTTCAGTAACTTACTAACATTAGATTAGCATCTGGATTGCATGGACAACATAATGACAAAGTGACAAATATTAAGAGCAGTAATGCCCAATTAAAACTAATTACACAAGAGATTATGTGGATAAACTTCAGGGCTTCAGCAGACTACACATAATCTTTATTTCAGGCACTAATCTTTCCTAGTACTTTGAAAAACAGTTCTAAACTTAAGAGAAAGTATAAGTTGTTACTGGGGGCAAGAACAAATCAGAATCAAATGTTTTCACAAACACACCTGTCATACATGACTTGTAACAAATATCTGAAATCCACTGTGACAGGAAGCTTGCCAATGGATATAATGCCAACATTGTGGATGGAATACACAGAAATACTGAAGAGTAAAGGAAACAGTGCAACAGGAGATCACTGTGCTCTGGAACATTATGCCAAGCAGTTTCGTAAAGCACAGCATCATGTCCCAGCAGACGGTGACTTTCATATCCACAGCTGTGAAACAACTCAAATATCATGAAGCAGAGATAAGCATATATGAGTATTTAGTTTCTATGAATATACAATTGCATATTCTCACCTGACACGACCATGTCGAGGTACTTCATGCTGTGGACCATCTCATACGTAAATTTCCCATCATGCTTTTTCAGTGTTTTGTCAATCTCCTCCTGCAACCGAGTTTGTACATCTGGATGTATGGCCAGCAGATAAGAGACAAAGCTCATAAGTGTGGAAGATGTGTCAAATCCAGCCAAGAAGAACTGGAGGGATTGAGCTATGATGTCTTCATCATCTAATTGTGTGACAAGAAGTACCAGGTTTTAGAAGCTGCTAACTGAATTTACAATTCAGATTTGTCCTCAGTGATTAAATAAAATTATAAAATAAATGAAAGTAGCATAACAGCCAGACAGGGATTCCAATTTGCTACAATTGTACATGGTTCTATCATCAACCAAAAACAGCACCATCACCGATGACAATGATGATGACAACAAAGATAAGAGTAGCAGCAACAGCAAAAGTACATATGGAGATAAAATTAATCTGGGTATACTAGTCATACGAATATATACATATAAGTAACATAACTCCACATGGAACTGGCTACAGAAATCAAACAGGAGGGGCAACTGAAACAGGTACATTTAGTCCATGTCTGTCCCGAGTACAAGCATATACTCTCAAAGACTCATCAATGAACTAGAAAACTTAAAACTGTAATACAGTATACAATTAACTGTCACTATCAATAGAGCGCACACATATCATGTAACAGGAGATTCATGAATGCTTTGTAACAACTGTATATTTACAGATAAGAGTACTTTAATGAGTCAATTACTGTTCAAATCTTTTGTCACTTTATGAAATATGGTATAAGATAACATGAATGATTATTTATGATCGATGGATGGATGGCTGGTTACATTTGTGGATGAACACCATGGATGGATAGACAAAAGGATGGATAATGGTGATGATTATGACAACGGAGGCAGTAGTGGTGATAATTATGATCATAGGTGGATGGGTCCTCTCAGTGTGACTGGAAGGCTATCAAGAGCATTTCTGAAGTATTTTTATGACATCACTGGAAAGCAGTAGAGTATGGAACTGTCCAACTGAACACACGAGACAAAGTGCTGCAGCTTACTTATCTTGGCACCCTTCTGATCCTCTGCAGAGTCCTCTTCATGTAGAGTTCCCTTCTTAGCCTGGATCAGCAAGTGCAACAGGTCTGGTCTGATGATGCCTTCTCGTTCTCGTGTGGCAACTGTGTCAAGTACCAATGTCTTGAAGAATTGTGTGATCTTCCCTGGTATGAGGTTAATGCCCAAAAACTGAACAGAAAACATTCATCGTAGTCAAACAATGTACCATTTTTATTTGTAATTTTGTACAACAACATTAAAGTTGTAAATTTTTTAATATAATTAAGACTGTGCTAACTGACCAATTAATTTGTTGTTATAATTAAATGGATGATTTTGTTTTTTGGTTGATTAACAAAACGTTGTCATTTCCTGTTGGGGAACAGAAGGAGAGAATTTTTCTACTGAATTTCTGCCAAACTTTATGTCAATTATTAGAGAACCTGTATTAATTATGGCAATACTGCCTTGACAAAGTGGTACCACACTTTCTGGTACACACTTACCAATGCTTCAAAGGGACCTACTGTCTCCAGTGTAGAAGGATCAGGTTCTTCTGAAATACTGATAATGACCAAGTATGCAGAATTCGAGGTTCCCATGGTGATGACTATGAATTGTACCGCCTTCTAGGATAATAAGTCGTCTATTCTAACAGGAGATTACCAATGATTTGAAGAAATGAACTGACTGTATTTTCTGCCTTCTGGTTGCATGTCGGCTCATTTTTGACCCTGAAGATGGACGCAGTACGTTTCTCCAAAACTCTGGTATATCTCTACCATATTACATGGCATCATATCACCTCAGTGAACAACCAGATGACATGTTCACAGCCACTGCCATGAGAATCATAAATCACACACTGCAATAATAACTTCAGAGAAATAAACTCTGTTAAAATATAAGCAGAGGAAGCAAACACACCATCCTGTCATTTGATGACATTATATATCAGTTAAATTCATTACACATCCCACAACCTCCTCATATATGGTCAGTATTTTTCTTCAAAACTACTGCTTTTTAAAAGTCATCCAACCAAACTTCAGTAGGCATTTCTTGTTACCTCCACTTGAGCTAGTTATACTAATGAGTTGTGCAAATCAGTAGGTTCGGATTATTATTCAAATTCTGCTTCCCATTTCATATTTGTTCATCTGTCTTGGTTCCAACAATCTTCCTTAGAAAAGTTTTCTCAGATATATGTAATATTCATTCTTCTTAAACTCACTTAATTTCGTGCTAAACCTTATTTCACGTTATGACACTGTTATGGAACCATCCATGGAGAAATTTTGAAAATAAATGCGGTATCTGTACCTTGTAATATGATACTATAATAGAACAATCTATGAAGAACTGCTGAAGCCATGTGTGTAACATGTACACAATGCTGTGGCCAATTGAATGTCTCAAAGGCAAATAACCTGTCATTAAACTGGACAAGATTACCCTGCCATAGTATATTACACTCAAATATAAATAGATATAGACAGACAGCAACTGATACTGTTTACCCAATTAAAGCACAGAAGAAATAATATGCACCACATGCTGCAACAATAAATATATCTACATCTTAGCCACACAAAGCATTTATGTGTCTCTGAGGTATGAACTGAATTTTCTATATTACTTCCAACAACTTAATGCTTCAAGGGGTTAACATACACATAAGAATAGCATGTCTCTGGATAAACAGTCCTGACCTTCATGACCTTTGGTATTGACAAGAAGATTAAAAATTTGATTGAACCAAAACTGGTGGCATCTTGCCCCATCATATAGAATTCATTTGTTGGATGTTTTAGGGAATCAACTTTAAGCCCAAATGCTGTTGTGGCAATGACATCATTTGTGTATCGGGTATACAATTCCTTTACTTCCAGCACCAACAAATCACCATCTGAAAATAAATGAACAACAGCATGAATCTGACATTTCATAATACATCTTACTTCATGGTATAACATTTACTTTTTGCTGTGAAATTAAGTGTGTTTCAAGGTTTATTTTAAGGTTCTCCACATATGACTGTACAGTAGTACCAATGTAACAGTGTTCAAACTGTGGAACACAAGTTCTACCAAATGTATGTCACACAATTGGATTGGCTGCTCATACACATGCTCATTATGCATGTACTACAATTTCAAAAGTTATGGACAAACCTATTTCTGACCCATACCAGCCATCTAAACTGACTATTTATGGTTATCATAACATTTTCAACATATAATGTTAAAGGCAAGGGTAATGTCACCGTTCAACACAGACATAATACCACAAAGATCACTAATATAGGTGCAACTTCATACATCAAGAATTTCTGTCTGGATGAGAATGGGTTACCATCTTCACATTATTAACAACTGTAAGATTTCCTGGTGTCAAATTTAAAGGGACACTTTAACTGGAGCCCTGTGGCACACAAACCATAACTGTCCTGAAGAGAAAATCTATTAAGCTGAGCAAACATTTCGAGTGCTTCAGAGGCTAATAGCCCATCAGTTTATGGAATCAGGAGATTCATTACCATGTTTATTTCTTTGAGATCCATATTTTCATTATCTTCAAATTGAGAAGTGGGGAGCCACCTGCTCAGTTGGAACTGTTACATTAGAACTGTTAATGTTGAAAAATATCTCAAACTACCCATGAACTATCTATCACAGAAGCACAATAGATCAGTGATGATTGAGGTGCAAGGGCCAAAGTGCAATGGCCCACCCTTACACATACATCTATCACAATGGCTAAGCACAACAGACTTTCTTTCTCTGCAGCAAAGACCCACTGTGTACATTTCTCACAACTGTAGTTTATGTCCTCCATCTGATCTGTTTCTTAATAACAGTGTTCTGCCATTTCATCCATCTGCCAAGTTATTTCCTCTTCATACCCTTTTGGGAACCTCATTTGAGATGGTTTGAAGTTAAATGCGAACAGTTATTGAAAATTTTAGAAGTTTTATACGACTGGTCATGGAGTGGAGCCCAGATGGCGATGCTCCGATTTTACCATATTTGAACTGTTTTCTGACACAGAATTTCAGTCTGTCTATCATACATCATATGCATGAGACTGGGATTCGATTTTTCACCATGGTAATAGAGTTTTCTTCACCAGTGATCTTTATGTTCTGTATGAGGAATCCATGTATACTCAAACCTCTCTGTGAAGGAATCTCCTCTGCTGGCATGCAACTAGTTTATCAACACAGCCTCATCACCCTTCTTAGAGTGCATTTTCTTCAATCCACTTACCACACAAGGTCCGATGTGAACATCAGCACCTCTTGGTTCAATTTTGCCACCTTCTTGAACAAACTGATATCCACTTGGCATGTATGATTCTCAACAGACCTTTAACAATTCCACCTTGGCATAACACATGCCCGACCTGTGACCTCCATTTGCTCACTTCATGAAAGGTGCACTTTAATATCGTCAATATTTCAAGGAATTCCTTTCTGAGTATCCAGAATATATGGTTATGTACACTGATAGCTTGACGGGTTCCAGGTTCAGGAAGGTGTAAGAGACCATGCATCATCTCACTGCCTCCATTACCTTAATAGTGTAGACACAGCCAAACCCTATGCCATATACAGATTTCTTCCTTTCAACTAACACACCTCAGCTTTTTGATCTTCTTTGTGTCTTTAAAGTTCTCCGTGTACACATACGAGATCACCTTGTTCTTACAGAGATTTTTCATCCAATGTCTATATGTGAATAAGTCTGGGAAGTCAGCTGTGTTCTGCTCAATACCTGTTCATCTGGGCATACCTGATAATGAGACCACTGAGCAGTAGGTAGCCAGGGAAGCTGACTTGTATGGGGACGTGTCATTAGAAAGAGTGTGGGGCAATTATGTTTGCTATAGAACCCCAGTAATATTAAATTCTGACTTTTATGAGCTTTGGTCCAAGGATGGAAACTGGCATAAAATTTTGTCACTGTGTGTGTCTGCGTATTTCCCCTTAATGTTGTCAGATGGTCTGGAATTTCATCTGTTCCCAATTCTTATGTACCAGAATAAGCCCTGCAAGATAAAGTAGTCCCTTCGCTCAACTAATTAAGCACTACGCCATGAAGACATATGGGGGAGATGACGTATAGATCCACATTTTCTTGACTTCAGCAGTAGTTGGAGATGAGTAGTCAGCTTAATGCCCCGGCTGCTTTACGCCCAGGGGAACAGCCCCTGGTACCCACTGGAATGGAGGTTGGGAAAGCCTCATAACCAGCCTGGACATCATGGAAAAAATTCTTGAGCCTACCACGACTCAAATTCCAAATCATTCTGTCATGCAGCCCACAAGGCAGTCGCTACCCCAACTGAGTTATCCCAGCTCCATATCACATCTGTAGCCTACATTCTTCTTAACGCAGAGACAAGATTTCAGGTCCATCAAATCATTTATTATTATATTTATATCATAAAAATTTAGTAGAGCCGCGATAGTGTAGTCAGTACAGCGAGTGGCCACAGAGCAGACAACCAAGGGGTCAGAGTTCAAGTCCCGGTAGGGTCAATAATTTTCTCTTTTCCACGTCGATCAGACCAGCTCTGGAGTCCATCCTACATTCTATCGAATGGGTACCGGGGGTAAAGCGGCAGGGGCGTGAAGCTGACCACTCACCTCCAGCTAGTCCTGAGGTCAAAAAATGTGGATGCATATTTCCCCTGTACTCCTTCATGGTGTAGTGTTTAATTAGTTAAGAAGAGGGAAAACTTTCCCTTTATTATAATCATTTATTATTATAAAATTTTTAATTTATCACCTTACTTTCAATAATAGAAAAATGGCTTATAAATTTTTGTTGTGTGTCTGTGTGTTCCTATAATGGGGTCAGAAGAGCCATATAGAAGAAATGGTTGGAATTTCCTAGCTTATAAATTTTTAGGCACTAGATTAAACCGAGATGATGTGAACTGGCTCCAGTACACACCTGCTGCATAGGCTCTTTTCACCACAGAGGCACAATTTCACGTCAAGGAAATCATGCAGCAGGCTTTCCTGCTGCAGCTCTCCCATGCGAGTCATCATTTCATTAATGTCTGTACACATCTATCACCAACCCATAAGCCCAACAAGCATGGCCGGCCAGTATATCATTACAACTGGCCCTTGGCCTGTTTACAGTAAAATTTCTTCATACTAAATTTCATTTATTTGACACTAATTATGAAAGTGCTAATGTGTTTACCTCTTTTGATTTTGTAGCCGGTTTCTAGTGGCTGTTGATAGCTCTGTTCCAGGAAGTCTAGCAGCTGCTCACTGCATTCATTCACCAACACAAACATGTTCTTCATCTTGCTGGATGTGAAAGCAGGACTTACTGTGGCCCGCATGTCTCTCCAGCGCTGGCCTATGCCACATACAACAGTGGTTCAGAAAACTTTCCAGACTGAGGCTTGCTTAATGTGAACACAAGTGTCCAAGCGCCTTATGCTCCTGCCACCTATTAAAACTACTTAAAGCATAATTTAGCAATTTCAAAGCAACTTCTAATTAACCTTAATGATGTCTACTAAGTACCTCTTCTACTAGCACTTTAAAACTCTAAGTTAATCTAAATAATATTTAGCAGTTCATTTCTTACCTGGGTATCCATTATGAGTGGCTGTTTACAGAAATAATCGTTATTGATTGCAGAATCATGAAGTTTTCTCTGTCCTTAATTAAATACGAACCATGTCACAAAGTTTGTTCTTACTCAGTTGAAAAATACTGGTATAAACACGCCATATGTTTGCATGTACTATACGTTTTGTCCTATTGTGGTCATCATCAGGTACAAACAGCCTTTACAATCACCCTTCTATCTACTATAGCTCTCCACAACGGTCAGCGTTCACATACAGAAAGTGCATTTTACAGGTATATTGTTTATGTAATACCCTTATGTTATGGAATGTATTAAACTTAAATATATTTTTTTATTTAAATATTCTAATTGGAATAAAAATTAAAATCAGGTTAGCTATTAAAAGGTGTATTCATATATATATAAACTAACTCCATGGAGATGAGACCTTGAGAAGCTGCCAGTTTTGCAGCTATTTCAGAATTTCCCGACAACTTATGTAACCTGAAGGTTCAGTACCGTGTTCACAAGATATCTTCACTGGTCACTTTCCTGAGCAAGATCAATCCAGTCCATGCCACCCCATCCTATCTCCCTACAATCCACTTTAATATTATCCACCCATCTATGTCTTGGCTTTCCTAGTAGCTTATCTCCTTCTGGCTTTTCAACTAAGATCTTTAATGCATTCCTCTTCAGCCCATTCATGCTATATGCCCTGTCCATCTCATCCTCCTTCACTTGGTCATTCTAATTACACTTGGTGAAGAGTATAAGTTATGAAGCTCCTCATTATGCAGTTTTCTCCAACCTCCCGTCACTTCATCCCTCTTCAGTCCAAATATTCTCCTGATCAACCTGTTCTCAAACACCATCAGCCTACATATCTCCCTTAATGTCAGAGACCAAGTTTCACACCAATACAGGACCACAGGCAAAATTACAGTTTTATGTATTCTAATTTATAAGTTTTTAGACATCAGACAAGGTGAAAGGTTCTGGACTGAATGGTAGTAAGCATTCCCTTAATTCAATCTCCTCTTAAATTTCTCCTTAATCAAATTTTGATTTGATAGTGTCGTTCCACAATATCTGAGTTGTACCACATTTTCAATGGATGTATTAGCTACTTCTATGTCATGATTTTGTCCTGCGTTCGGTTGATGAGACAGTAACAGATACTCAGTTTCTCTGCGTCTCCTTTGACACCAACCTCCTTACTAGCATCAATTAATAAAGTTTCTGTGTTTCTTTGTCGTATCTATGTTATCTCCCACTAAATTCATATTGTGACGTTTTGCGCTACGCATAGACACCACTCCGCTATCGGATCGCTGTCGTTACTAAGGTAACAGGCGAGTCAACCCTCCTTCGCCTACCCCGCCAGCGGTGACGACACCAAGGGATACTGCGGTTGCTAGGCAACAGTAAACAACTCCGGACAACGCAGAAAACAGCCACATAATAGGCACCATTGTTGTCTGGCGCCGTGTTGCTAGCAACGCTAGCAACTGATGTATCCCATTTAATTTCAGACCCACCTGGTTCTCCTGGACCTTCCTAATGGCATAAGCTAGTACAAAGTTGACAGTCAGTGGTGATAAAGCACCTTCTTGTTTTAGGTCATTTTGGATAGAAATATTATTAGATAAATGTCTACCTATATGGACTTTACATTTAAACACCAAATTTATACAGCCTACCTAGTTTCATGGTACACCAAACTCTATGAGAATACTGCACAGGACTTCCCTCGTAACAGAATCATAGACTATCTTGAAGTCGAATGAATAGCTGATGTACTGTTATATTGTATTCCCATTTTTTCTCCAGTATCTGATGAATGCGAAAGATCTGATCAGTAGTTGATCTGTTTCGCCAAAACGCACAGTGACGACGATCCTCAATAATTTCATCTACGTATGGACTTAAACTTGAGAGCAGAATATTGGATACAATTGTGTATGAAGTTGATAGTAGTGATATCCCATGATAATTACTACAGTCAATCTTTATTACCCTTCTTATGAATTGATACCATAATAGACTCATTCCACTGTTCAGGCAATTGTTCTTTACTCCAAACAGAATTAACGAGTTTATGGATCTCAAACCATATTATTTCAACCTTTTTATTATATCCGTCACAACACAACTAATATCAAGATCAGACCATTTTCGGCACGGCTACATATTTCGGCTATTGATAGCCATCATCAGGCAAACACATGATTTACACACATATACACACTAACGAACCACAGCATCAACAGGAGTGGATACAATATTATTAAAATACATATATAAAAACACTTGATGTAAAAAATACAAAAATCAAGTTATATAAAACAGAACTATGATATAAAATAAGAATAAAATTCTGTTGGTGTTTTTACGAGTACATCAACGTGTCAGTCGTTGGTTTGTGATTTGTTTTTTGTTTTGTTCCCATGTACAAGTTGCAATATTCATACTTATTCCTATATAAAATTGTCGTTGTTTACATTCCCTACAGTACGGACAATACTTTGTAAGATGATGCACTGACTAATATTATAATTTACTTTACGAGCCTCATACACAATTTTATATATGAATAAGTATGAATATTGCAACTTGTACATGGGAACAAAACAAAAAACAAATCACAAACCAACGACTGACACGTTGATGTACTCGTAAAAACACCAACAGAATTTTATTCTTATTTTATATCATACTTCTGTTTTATATAACTTGATTTTTGTATTTTTTTACATCAAGTGTTTTTATATATGTATTTTAATAATATTGTATCCAATCTTGTTGGTGCTGTGGTTCAGTAGTGGTTGTGTTTGTGTAAATCATGTGTTTGCCTGATGATGGCTATCAATAGCTGAAACACGTAGCAGGGCCGAAAATGGTCTGATCTTGATATTAGTTGTGTTGTGACGGATATAATATAAAGGTTGTATATTGTAACACAACAGGATGCATGAAATGTAAACCATAATATTTCACCCCTTGCTTGAACAGTTCTACAGAAATTTGAACACTACCTGCCGAATTTTACTTCTTCAACTTTGAAACAGCAATTTCAACCTCCACATGAGTAGGATCAGATACTACTGGCTCAGCTATATGTATTTCTACTTGCCTAAAATCACTGACCCCATGTATATTCAATAACTGAGATAAGTGGTCCTTCCAACTATTCAAAATGTTGTGGGAATCTATTGTACAAGCAGATCACCATTCTCATCCTTCACTAAGTAACTGCTAGGTTGGGAACTCCTCTTAAGGTCATTTATTCCTCTGAACAGTTCTCTAATGTTCTTGTTCTTACTGTTCGTTACAAGCTCATTAACTTTTGTCTTTCAGATATTCTCTCTCTTTATTCTTGAAATGCTCCCTAGGTTCATGTCTTATTTTGTTCAGATTATCCCCATTTATTCCACTTGGATCCTGTAGCCACTGTTGTCTTGTTTCCTATGGTCTAATAATTTTGAGCATCCTTTGTCAAATCATGGCTTATGCTTCTTCAATTCAAAATAACCTTGGCCTACTTTCGCTCAAATTTTGGTATTCTCTAGCACTTTCCCAAGCTCTATTAATATCCATCTCAGTCTAAGTTTTGAAAAGCTGCAAAACCTATTTGAGATTTCAACACAATACTGCTCTTTACCCTCTACCTCCTGCAATTTCTTGAGATCAATCCCCTTCACATAACACTGGGAGTTGTTTGTTTATTCACTTCCATTTTCTCCCTAACTTTTTCCACCACCAGGTAGCGGTCAGCATCACTATCTGCTGCCCTGAACGATTGGACATCAAGTATACTTGAATGCCGTCTCCTATCTATCAAAATATGGTCAATGATATGAGTCTTTCCATCAGGAAACGTCCAAGAAAATTTACGAATATTATGATGTTGAAACCCTGTACTTTTTACAATATTTTACAATTTCTCAAATTTTACTACTCTAACTCCATTTATTAATGTCTTGTAAACTCACATTCTCAATTGTTGGTTTGATATTGTCTTTCCCACTTACTTTGGAAATGAAATCTCCTAACAAAATTTTTCATGTGGTATTTAAGGAATTTATCGAATACACGTTATAGTTGTCCCTCATATCATCATTTTTATCCTCTGTTGGGGCATGCACATTGAAGAACAATTGTGTATAGTATAGTATACTGTATAGTACATTCATATCATTGAACTCATAATGACTATTCAGTAAGTCCATATTTCTATATATTTACATTATATATACGGTACATATGTAATCTACTGACATCCTTAAGACCTGTATGTCATTCACTCACCCTTGAGAATAACGAGCGGTTTCGACCATATCGACTCTCTGCTTTCAAAAAAATCTGTTCGGTGATCCGTGAAGTACTCGAAATCTTTCACAGTGATGGTTTTGATAAGTTCCAGATCTCTCACGTAAACAATTGGCATCCGAAACATGAACATAATATAAAACTGGCGGCCTTTGAATTGGTTGTAACCTTCCTGTAAAAGTTCAAAAAAGGACTTCTTCCCCATATACTGTGCCATATTTCCAATGAATGGAAGCGGTTTAAGGTGTGGTATATTTTGCTTTGTGAACCGGCCGTATGTGCTGGTACCCCAGAAGTACAGTACCACTCCTGCCGCCAGGACAAGTAGGGTCCAAACTAGGCATAGCCACGTCCAGTCCAGAATAGCCATCTTGTGTGCTGGGAAGACCTGTAGCAAGCAACAGACATTAAACGTTAACCCTCTCAGTCCTGCAGACATACATGCAGTATATGTATGTATGTATAAGTATGTAGATATTACAGGTTAGCGAGACTCTAAATGCTTCTAACAACGGCTGATTCATGGCACGAACATAATTATGAACATCGTTCCTTTTTTGGGGGTATATTTCACACACTCGGTGGTGAAGACTAGCCGTTTCTAACGAGCCCAACTAACACGTTCGTCTCCCTTCACTTACACCTGAAGACGGAAACTGACTGTTAGAATAGTTGTGTATATGGAATACAGCCTATCCACTGGGAAATATAAAAAAAAAAACTGTGACGTCATGTCAGATTACGTCCATATAATTTGGGTTCCGATAGAGACGTGTGTCTTTCTACAGTTAATTTACCTTCGATAACCTTAATGTGTATATATTTACCGTCTTTTAGTGCATACAATTTCACTTGTCACCTCACACTACATGTTTCGGCATCATTCTGCCATCTTCAGGTGTATCATTCATGTTAAACCATTGCACTGCCTGCCATCAAGTGTCCACTTATAAAATGATATAAAATGTGTGTTCGTCGTTGTTCAATAATAAAATTGATATATTAAAACTAGTTAAGATCTATCATCTTACATGTCGTATATCAAACTCGTGTGTAACGCCATTCATCTACTATGGGCGTCGTTCTTCTTATGTTTTAATTGTGTATATACTGTGTTTTTCTTATGTGGCTGCGTGCTCAAGCGGTTAGTCGCTGGCTTCCCACCGCGGCGGCACGGGTTCGATCCCGGGTCTGGTCAAGTGGGATTTATGGTGGACAAAGTGGCGCTGGGATGGGTTTTCTTCGAGTACTTCGGTTTCCCTGCCAATCTTCTTTCCACCAAATTCTCCATCATCATAATCACCCGGGGCAGGTACAATAGGCCAATCAGTGGCCGCCGTGCCGAGTGGACCCTGCTGGACTCCACCCCCACTAAGCGAACTGGAGCTGGAACCTTCGACAAGAGCCCCCGTGTGGAGGGGGGTTAGAATACTTCCGCCGTTGCCTTGCGATTTGTAGAAGGCGAGGAAAAGGGAACCCGGTGCCTGGTGGCATAACTGGACCACCCTCTCAATGGGGGGGACATAAATACAGAGACCGGGTCCTTCAGGTTGGGGGCTGGACGCAAGGCTTACGACTTCGCTCTGTAACGCCGAGGGCACACAAATGAAACTGAAAACCGCAACTGCCGAAAAAAATCGCCGATTTCAGGCAGGCAACTGGTTTCCAGATTAGCAGACGCACACTGAGGGAACTTATGTTTGAGTACTTGCTCACGTCATCTTAAGTGTGAGTTCGTCCGACGTAATGCATGATTGTATTGTTCAATTTCGTACACTTACCTTCTGCAATAGAATATAATAATACCGATCCTGTCATAATATGACAGTAGTTGAGACCAGTTGAGACGGCGTGAGAAGAGAGGACGGCCATAAGGAAAACATTGCGATGTTAATTAATTCGTCTCAATTAAGGTCAATTTATTTTAATCGGCAAATAACGCGTTCACACGCGATACCAAATTTTGACATTCAGTGCAACAATTCTAGCAAGATAGAAAACACCTGATGATGGCCGTATACAGCCGAAATATGTAGTATGGAAGAAGGGTGGCTATATAATAAGTTGTATTCAAGACGGAAATATATGTGAAATAAATGATATTTTTTTAGGCAACAGGATGCATAAATACAATATTAGGAAAACATTAGGTGCATCCATTATTCTCTGACAATTTAAACTGAAGGGCTTGTATTATTTCGAAAGGACTTAACTTGGATCCAGACTCCGTCTCATGAGAAATTCTTTCCCAAGCTAAATCTATTTTGTTCCGCTTAGCGTAGTCCAAGCGGCGGTTGTCCTTTATATACTTTGCTCAATTAACTGTACAAAAGGAAAATTAACAGCTTCGTCAAACTTTCGTGCCATCTTAAGAAAAAACGAATCACTGAAGCGCGTAATAGAACAGCTGATACTAGAAAACCACGCGACAACACAATTATTAGAAGACTGGCTTGCTCTGTTGCCTGGTAGTTGAGTTTCTCAGTCTCTTCGCGAGTTGCGTTGCCGTTTCCTTAATTTGCGCTGCTCAATTCACTAACAGGTGTTCAACTCATGCTGATAACAATTCTCGGAAATCGCGGTTGCGTTGCGGTTGCCTGTTTCCTTGGTGTGCCCTTGGCCTAAAACATTAGTATTGTTGCGAAATCTAACGAAGTGAAAACCGGATGCAATCTGGTTGAATTGTCTGCGGAAGGCTGTAGCTCAAAGGGGGCTGTTTCGCCAATGACGACGAAGAAAGTCGGCACTGGAAGAGTTTAGAATAAGCGTTTGGCAAATTTTGACACTTCGTATGGAGCTACAGCAGTTATCTAATTTTGGTGCAAACTGCAATGATCTCCGAAATGTCAAAAATCTACCACATTATTTTCACTCGCCATTACGTACGTAATGACAGACAGCGGTTTCGTAGGAACAATGGGTAAAATACATCTACTTTCAAGATAAGAATAAAACTACGGTCATTAATTGCACAGTTTGAAATTCTAAATCTTTCAACATCTATTTAGGCACATTTCTAGGCAAACAGAAACATACTTTGGCTCCGTGCCGTTTTCTTCGTAATGGCAAGTCATGGATATTTTTATATCTTAAATCAAAACACTGGGGCCCGGAGCAACAGAATGGCTGCTCTTCACTGTGATGATGCTTAGTAATCGGTGCAAATATCACGGAAGGTCGCCGTGAAGTGGTTAGCACGCCTACGTATGGTGCAGGTACCCTGTTCGAATCACTGTCTCTACACTGCCTATAATACCCATGCATCATTTTCCTCAGTCAGCCGTGGTAGGCCATCTGATAAGTCAGACACATCTCTTTTTAAACGAATTTTATTTCGGTTTTTTTTTTTAATTACGCGGTTCTCATTGCAAGTTCTTTATTTATATGGACAATTCATCCAGAATTATGCGATTTGATAAGGAAAGTATATTATTATCAAACCTCAACCCTCTACCGTGGGCATCACAAAAACCAAGCAGCAGACCATAAACGTTACGGAAACTTCGCCTCTTGAACCTCAATCGTCATGGCCTCCTGGATCACCTGACCCAGACGCACTTCTCCCACCTCTAGTAAATCCCATCACTCAAATAAAATAGCCACTAGCAAGCCATGTCAGGCAGCGTTTAACTCGAACTTAAGCAAAATTTCTCATTTGAAAATTTTGTTACTATTAGGGGTAATATTGTTGATGTATGTATAATTAACAGTAAGAATGAAACACAGTGGAGGAATACATGTTCACATGCGTACTCCGGCAGCGTTTCTCCTAACCGCTACCACTTCATTTACTTCTTGGGGGAAAACTATTTTTAATTTACGCACCCATTTTCAAGAACAAAACTGGCACGTAAATGGAAAAGTGGCCGTATACAGCATCGTTACATAACAGACGAATAGGCATACATACCGAAACCAGTACACGTGTTTCTGATGCACTTATTTGCGAATGGCCCAAGATCGGTGAATTTCAGTTCATTCCATAACAGACACAAGTTCTGTAGCATCGTTACTGACAACACAAGTTGGATACAGTAGGTTCCTCCGTAACGTTTATACTTATCTACCAAACTACACGGCGTCACATCCCTCAAACCCATATTCTTATTGTCTGAGAACCGGGCGTACCCACGTTATTATGGATCCAGTTTAAAACAGTAAGACATGTAATGTAGTGGGGTATGTTAAGAATAATTAGCAAGTGAACGTGAAACACTTAACTGTTCTGGACACATACACAAACCAGACCAAAACAACTTTTCAGAACCTTCGTTACCTTCCAGACCTTCCAGACACGCCGTCCCAACCGTCCCAACCACGCCTTCCCAATCGCCGGATCACAAATTACGTCTTTCGTTTCGTCGGTTACCAGTACTGCCACCTGCTGTGGGATCGACTGAACCATATCCTCCTTTGGCGCGTTCGCAACAGAATATCTAAAAAATGAGTCTGTTACTTTTTTCATGTCTATCCCGTCGGCTTCCCTTATGAATATTTTGTTGAATCTAGCTGATCGTTTGGTCGTCATCAGCAACCAGGGTATTCTCTCTCTGTGCATAAATGTTTCATACACGTGCCTTACTCTGTCCTTGAAATCAGAAATATATGTACACTCTGACGTTAGCAGCTTACTTGTCGCGCATTCCAACCCATCCCGAGGCAATTGTTTGTAATGTCCCACTTCCTCATGTACACACTGACCTTCATCTCCCTCCGCACAATACTGACGGCATATGCTTTACACCAAATGGAACGTCCCCAAATTTTTCCAACACAAGTATA